TTTTTATATGGAAAGTAGGTAAGTGGTACATGCCTATAATCCCAGCACTTGAGAGGCTGAGGCAGGAGGATTGCTGCAAGTTTGTGGTCAGCCTAGGCCACATTGACCCTGTGTCAAAAAAACCAAAGAAAAAAGTTTTTTAAAAAATATAGAATATATAGCAGGATGATAATACTTTGATATATGTTAGTTTACAAATAAAATACATTAAAGAGAATTTTGTCTATTTCTCTTGCTCCCCCCATTTTTTGGGGGGGTGCTGGAGACTGAACCTAGGCTATACATTCTAAGCATGTGCTCTACCACTGAGCTATGCCCTGACCCTTCTACTAGGATATTACATTTACACATGTGGCTCCCATTATATTTCTGTAGATTGCACTCATCTAACAATCTCTTAACTCTTAGAATGCTCTTTTTTTCCATTCCAAATCTGTGATTACAAAAGGGAATCCAGTTTTAAGTGATTGGGCTTTTTGTACATTAGCCCATTCAACAAGTTTCAGTGCAGTCATTAATTTTACCTCTTCTGCCCTTAGCCACAAATTCCTGTAAATGCAAATGGATTTGATGGGCTTTTAGATCCTATAGATTCTGTGTGGTTTGCCTCTGGACCAAAGAGCAGGGACACATTAGCTTCCTGTCCAGCTGCTGCCCACTTCCGTGCAGGGCCCGCAGGACTGTCACTGTCCTCGTGAGAAGAGCAGGTCAGCGATACAGGGAGCCAGAGCTTAGCAAGGGTTCTGGCACAAGTGACAGTGCATTTCCTCCTTCCAGCAAGAAAACAGCTGTAGCGGGTTCTTGGCAGCAGGCAAAAGGCCAGCCAGCTGTGGTACCTGGGGTGTTTGCAAGTCTGACCAAGCACTGAGATGTGCCAGGTACACTCTCCTGGGAAGCATCCCTGGATCCTCTGACTTACGCCTCCCCCCAGCTTGCCTTCCACACGCAATGGACGCTGGGAACTGGTTTGCTAGGAGGAATGTGCCGTTCCCACAAGGAAAGGACTGGCCAATCGGGTAATTATATTGATCTTTTTTTTTTTGGTACTGGGGTTTGAATCGGGGCCTCATACCAGGAAAGTGCTCTACCACTGAGCTATATCTTTAGCCTTTTTATTTTATTTATTTTCATTGTTTTGGATTTTTTGAGACAGGGTCTCGGTATGTAGCTCAGGCTGGCCTTGAACTCACCATGTAGCCCAGATTGGCCTTGAATGCGTAGTGATCCTCCTGCCTCAGCCTCCTGAGTGCTGAGATTATATGCATGTGCCACCATCCCCGGCTCCTTAGCCTTTTTAAATTAAAATTAATTTAAGAAATTATTTTTTGAGACAGGGTCTCAGTATAGCTCAGGCCAGCCTTGAACTTTTGATCTTCCTGGCTCATTCTCCTGACTGTGGTGATTACAGGTGTGCACCATGACACCTGGATTTAATTTTATTTTGAGGCGCAGGGTCTTTTTTTTTTTTTTTTGTCGTACCAGGGATTGAACTCGGGTCCTTGTGCTGGCTGTGAAACCACTGAGCTAAATCCCCGGTCCTAGGCAGGGTCTTATTAAGTTGCCCAGACTGGCTTTGTACTTTCAATCATCCTGACTCCTCCTCCTGAGTAGCTGGGATTATAGGCCTATGCCTCGATTCCTCATTATATTGACGGTTTGTAACAGGCTTTTGGAAAACTATTTGAAATAAGAGTATCAGCCTTGATTGTCAGATTCAAGTGTAAGAAAGATCTTTTTATTTTTTTGGTACTGAAGATCGAACTCGGGACCTTGTGCTTTCGAGGCAGGCAGCAGAACCACTGAGCTAAATCCCCGGCCCCTCAAGAAAGATTTTTAAAAAATGTTTTTGGAAATAATTTGAAACTTGCGTAGAAGTCAGGAAAATAATAATGAAGAATATATATCCTTTCCCTAAGTTTCCCTAGGTAACATCATACCCTATTTGCATTGCTGTTTGTTCTTATTTACTGTATATACTGGTGTAAACATATGTATTATAACTATGTAACTGTACATGTATGTAGTTATACTACATTTGTCTATTGTTTTCCCTGAACCATATGAGAATAGCTTACATATATATCATGGTCCTTTGTCTCTAGATATCTTAATATATATTAATATATGTATTTTAATATGTGTGTCCTAAGTATTTTTTCCATATATATTATAGCCTTTTGCCCCTAAATATTAGTATCTCTTTTCTTTTATATATCCCAGTTCAGTAACCAATTGTAGTAAATTTACTATTAATATGATACTAGTTAAAAAAAAAAATGGGCCAGGGATTTAGCTCAGTGGTTCTGCCGTCTGCCTTGAAAATGCAAGTTCCTGAGTTCGATCCCTGGTACCAAGAAAAAAAATATATACTACTGCCTAGTGTCTAATTTTACTCCTTGTGTTCTACTCTTATCAATTGACCCAAGCATGTTCTTTATAACATAGTACTTTCTTCACCATTAAACATCCAGTCTAGAATTCCTGTGTATTTAGTTGTTTTCCCTCTTTAGTCCTCTTTAATCTGGAACAGTTCAGTCGTTTTTTTCTTTTATGATACTGATGTTTTCATGGAGGAATATTTAAAATTTATAAACAAACTTATTAAGAGCTAGGGAACACCAGGTATGATGGTGCACACCTGTAATTCTAGCTACTAGGGAGATGAATTTGAGGCGAGTGTGAGCAACTTAGCAAGACATTGTATCGAAAAAAAAGCTAGGGATGTAACTCAGTATAAAGGCCCTGGGATAAATTCTCAGTATTGAAAAAAACCCAATCATAGATTGACTTTTTAAAAATTAAAAATTTCTAAAATCCATAAACATTTGCAATGAATATGACAGACTAAAGGTTAAAACCTAAAGTTCTTTTAAGGCAGTTAAAAAAAAAAAAAAAAGACCAGCACCCTAAAAAAGCAAGGAGAGGAACCAGGCAGTACAGAAGAGAACAAATACTGATGCCAGTAATAGGAAAATCAAACAACTCCTAGAGCATTCCAGTGAGTGCAAATTAGAGCAATGGGGACTCTCATTAATCTTCAGAAGATTAATTGCTAAAAGTGATTCTAGTGTAGGCCAGAGTGTAGGGAAGGGTATTCTCTCCTACCACTGATGCAGTATACATGTATATGGACTTTATGAGTGGTGTTAAATTAGAGAACATACATCAAAGCTTTAAATAGTACTCTTTTTTTTTTTTGGTACTGGGGATTGAACTCAGCACCTTGTGCTTTCGAGTCAGGTGGCAGCACCACTGAGCTAAATCCCTGGCTTTTAAATAGTACTCTTGTGTCATGAGTTCTGTGGCAATCTATTTGCTATAGATTTGTGTAGTTTTTTGTTTTTTGAGACAATGTCTCACTATATAGTTTAGGTTGGCCTTGAATTCATTATGTAGCTCAGGCTGGCCTCAAATTTGTGGCATTTCTCCTGTCTCAGCATTACTAAATGCTGGGATTACAGTGTGAGTCATTGCACCTGACTATAGACTTTTATTTTATTTGTTTGTTTTGTTTTGTTTTGTTTGGTACCAGGGATTGAACTCAGGACCTTGGGCTTGCCCGGCAGGCATGGTGCCACTGAGCTACATCCTCGGCCCTAGACTTTTATTTTAGTAGAAGTAGTATAACTACTTTTTTTCCTCAATGCTGTGGATTGAACCCTGAACCTCTGCCCTGAGCTACATCTCCAGCCCTTTATTTTTTGTTTCAAGACAGGGTCTTGCTAAGTTGTTACGTTGTCCAGGCTGGGCTCAGACTTGCAATCATGCTGCCCCATCTGGCCTGTACAGTAATTTCTTGTCACTGATTGAGAGTTGGTCGTAAGGGGTGTGTAGTTGGCAGAGGAAATGACAGTGGCAGGAAGAGCCCCTGGTAGAGAAATGGAGCTGCTGGTAGTTGGCAGCTGGGGGCTGTGCTAAGTAGAGAAGGGACACAGGTGGGTAGAAGAAGCATCCTTTGTCTTAGGCTGGTGATTGAGCATTGTGCTTGGTGGGAAGAATGCTGTCTGTGGCCTCCAAAGTAGATTGACCCTTGCCCAGTCCCTAGCAGGCATTCCTCAATAACTCTTAGTGCCAGCTTCCTCTGAAAAGGTCAGGAAAAGCCTATTAATTTTCTAAAGTTGTAGTCTTTCTTTAAAAGTCAACTCAGGTACTTCTGTGTCCATCTTTAAGGTAGCACCCCCAAAGCTGTATCTGAGAGAATCGCTTTTTTTTTTGGTACTGGGGATAGAACTCGGGACCTTGTGCTTACAAGGCAGGCAGTGGAACCACTGAGCTAAATCCACGGCCCTGAGAGAATTACTCTTAAAGTTCTTCTTCCCATTATATTCAGGGTTAGCGGTGGTGCTGGGAAGGACAGAAGGAAAAGAAATGTACCCAGCCCAGAGGAGGTCTTGCCTACCGCGTAGTTTTTGGATGGTTTACATAGAGATCCCTTGTCAAGTGAGAAAGGACTTGAAATCAGCTTGGTTTTCTTTACCTCTGAGATACAGACTCACAAATCCTGGATCCATGTCTGGGACCACAGAGAAATCTCTTGTGTGGTGGAGAATTTGCTTATATGGAAACATAAGAACTTGACTCCATCATGACCAGATTTGGTGCTTCATGCTCCAGTTCTTAAAATACATATTATTCAAATACATTAGCTCCTGGTCCAGTTTTAGCGTTGCATGGGTGGCTAAGCTTAACAACATGGTGGTCTTCCGATTATAAGTAGATTGTGTAGGGCCGGGGATTTAGCTCAGTGGTTTCGCTACCTGATGTGCAAGCGAAAGGACCCAAGTTCAATCTCCGGTACCAAAAAAACCAAAAAACAAAATAAGTAGATTGTGTGTGAAGACATCTATCTTAACAGGGGTTCAGAAATTTCCTCTTAGGATTCAGTATGATGTATTGAAGGGAAGGCTTGTGTGAGAGAACCTTCTGTTTTAACATGGGAAATGTTGTGGTTTCCATGTGACATCTTACGTGTGTGTTCCTTTGATCTGATCTTACTTAAGCTGCTCATGTTTCCCACCTGGAGAATGTGTCAGAGGAAGAGATGAACAGGCTCCTGGGAATAGTGTTGGATGTGGAATATCTCTTTACCTGTGTCCACAAGGAAGAAGATGCAGATACCAAACAAGTTTATTTCTATCTATTTAAGGTGAGTTTTTAACATTTTAGAAAACCTTGTTTCCCTCAATGTGCAGGTGTGTTCAGTCTCCACGTGCCAGCTTGTTGGTTTAAAGGTTGTCAGCTTATGGTGCATTTTGCCCTCTGAAGCATCTGTTTATTCCTGACAAATTCTGAAAAAGGATCCATGATACTTTGGACACATCACTGTCCTTAAATCTTGTATGCCAAAGTGAATAGCTTGCTTTGCATGTGCTTATAGATTTCTTTCCATCTACCCAACAAATATTTATTGCACCCTCTTCTGTGCATGGCATTGATGTAGCACAAGGCACAGATCATTGGAGAAGACCAGGGCATTCTCCTCATAGAGTTTACATTTCAGTAGAAGAGGTAATGTGTTTGCAGGTGCAGAGAGAAACAAGTGTAGGGAAAGTACAGTCAGAATGAAGAGTGGCAGGTGGGGACCGTGCCAGTGAGGAAGGCCTCTGAGCAGGAACCAGAGTGGGAAGGAAGCTGAAGGCAGAACAGATATCTGGGTGGCGTACCAAGTGCCTTGATGTGTTGTAGGAATTGCAAGGAGGCCAGCGTGGTGGAGGCCAGTGAGCAAAGGGGAGATGGGTGGGGGTGTCGGAGGGGTGGCTCTAAGTACAGTTTCTCTCTTTTTTCTGTTTTTGTAGCACTGGGAAGTAAACTCTGAGCTCTGAGTTCTAAACTCTTTGCACTGAGCTATATCCTCAGCCCTTTATTTATTTATTTTATTATTATTTTTTGATCTTTTGAGACAGCATCTCGCTATGTAGTTCAGGCTGGCTTTGAACTCACTGTCCAGCCCAGGCTGGTCTCGAACTTGTGATGATCCCCCTGCCTCAGCCTCCCAGGTTCTGGGATTACATCTTGTGCTACCACACTTGGTGATTACTTTTTAATTTTTGAGACAAGGTCTCACTAAGTCATTAAGTTGTCCAAACTAGGCTCAAACTTGGAAGTCTTCTGCCTTAGTCTCCCAGAATGCTGGAATGATAGGCATGGCTCCACCATGCCCAGTTTCTAAGTGCTGTTTCATCTGCTTCCAGGGAAGGAATTAAGACTTTGCAAATGAATTTTAATGTCTTACCCGCTGCTGTCTGTGTCCTGCTGACAGGAATCACTGATTATTGCTGCCCTTCCCTGAGGCTGCCTTTTCGTGGTCTTCCATCAGCTCCATTTGGGTTACTCATTCCCTTCCCACAGGTCTGCTTGAGTTGCTGCTCATGGTCGGGACTAGCAGCCTCAGGAGGGAAACTGGTGAGAATGGATAGAAAACTTCAGGCTGCCAAAAATAGATTCATAAAGGAGGCCACGAGGAGGACAGTTCAGACACAACAACAAACCTGCTATTGAGGGCAGTGTCCGTTAGACTGTATTGTGGAACACTTATAAGGATGTTAAAAAAAGAGAGAGAGAAAACTCAAAATTTACAGCCAGAAAAATTTGTGTCTTAGTAATAAGCATTGTGGTCAGTCGGTTGGTCGGTTGGTCAGTCTGTCTGTGTGTCTGTCTATCTGGGAGCTGAGGATCAAGTCCAGGGCCTTGCTAAGCAAGCACTCCACTGCTGAGCTATTAGGAATCTTAGTGCAAATTCTGTACCCAATTCCTTTATCCTTTTTTTTTTTTTTTTTTTGTGGCACTGGGGATTGAACCCAGGGCCTTTGAGCTACATTGCTTGCTTACTCTTTCTTTCTTACTCTCCTTCTTGCTCTGTCTTTGACCCTGGGTTGTTGTTCCTCCTCCCCGCCCCCTCCTCCCTCCCTTCCCCACCTCTCGCTTTTTTTTTTTTTTGCTGCCGGGGATTGAACTTGGGACCTTGCACTTGTGAGGCAGGCAGCGGAACCTCTCTCGCTTTTAAAACCCTGAAAATATTATCACTTTATGCAGTATTCCTCAAATTTTACCCTCATATTTTTTTCTTTTCCTTTTTTTTTCTTTCTAGCATCTTAGATTCTTCTGTGTTGTATTAACTTTTTTCCTTAAATTGTACTAATGGGAGTATTTGAGTGGATAGGAGACAAGGGTGGGAGGAGTAATTACTTATGTATATTTTAGAGTTGTGTTATTTATTTTTTTTCGCCTTTGAGTTTTTTATTTCATATATTATCCAGTTTCACATTCTCATTGGGGTGTTATTGAGACATTAATTTTTTAAAAAGATGGAGGGAGCCGGGGATTGAGCTCAGTGGCACCGCGCCTGCACAAGGTCCTTAGTTTGATCCCCAGTACGAAAAAAAAAAAAGGAGGGAGATGGCAAGGAAAAGGAGGGAGAAAGAGAATGCATGAATGAGTGAACATGCAGATGAACAACTGATTTGCCGTAGCCATTGGCAGTGGCTTGAGCACTCCAGGTGATAGTTTGTTGACATGGCTGTGAGGCCTGAGTCATCCACATTGAATCCCTGCAGTTCTTACTGTTCAGGGCTTCTTTGGGAAGAGATCTTAGCTGAAGGAAAACAAGATCTGCATGACTGCTGCATTTTTATTTGTCTTGGAGCGGAGCTCCTGGCAGCTGCCCACCACCCTGCTGGATGAGAAGGTGGTGTCAGGGTTTCCATCCCGTCAAGCCTCTGCTTTATAGTCACCCAAACAGCCAGAAAGCACGGCTCTGCTGTTTTGTTTTTTTCTCTCTCTGCTTTGAAGTTCATTTTCTCCCTATTTCTTACCTCCTTCCTCTTTAAGTAACAGTGCAAATATACCTGCCTGTAGAAACATAATCAACAGTGTTCAGCTCTCTGACCTGTCACCACTCATTTCTTGGGTAAAAGAGTTATAAATTGTCTATATCTTCACTTTTGAAAGGTAGTTCCTGAATCTAATTTTTCAATAATTAGCTTAAAATGCATTATATATTTAGTCTTGGATGCTGAAAACAAACCCAATGGAAAGCTGCTTCGTGAAGCTGAAGTATATCTTGGTGCCTGCTCCTGTCTGGGCTGTCACATACCAAATGTGACCTTCGATGCTGTGTTGCTTTAGTTTCCTCATCTCTTAAATTACAGTTAATAGTAGCACCTACCACAAAAGGTTATTAGGAAGCTGGGTTTGGTGGTGCATACTTGTGGTCTCAGTTACTCAGAAGGCCCAATAATTTATTTTTTTTCTTTGCGATACTGGGGATAGAACCCAGAGCCTTGCACATGCTTGGCAAGTGCTTTGTCACTGAACTACATCCCCTGGCCTAACAAAAGTTTTTAAAATGCCTACCTGGGCCGGGGATTTAGCTCAGTGGTTCCATCGCCTGCCTTGCAAGCAAAAGGTCCCGAGTTCGATCCCCGGTGCCAAAAAAAAAGGAATGTAAAATGCCTACTTGTCTGAACTCCATCATTTTGTAGATAAAGAAACTAAGGTTCAACATCTCCCTAATTTACATCAGTTTACCTCCAAATTGAAAACTCTACTGGGCCATCTTCCCAAGAGGTCTTATTTTAACTTGCAAAAGAAGTAGGTAGCCAGAATTATTTATACTAAAATTTCATGATTAATGTTATACAAGCTGTACATACATTGCTTATTTTTATTGCAAATTTATTATTGTAAAGATGGGCATAATATGTTGAAAGGATTAATAAATGCTCCACACTCCTAAGATACAGCTCGGTGGAGAGAGACAACTTTGGAGGTTGAGTGATTTCCATGAACTCTTGAGGGAAGGGCTGCTATTGAAAAGGCAGTAAGTGGAGAAAGGAGGTCAAGCTGTAACTTAAATAACTGCAGGGCCATCTCATAACTAGCCCACATATAAAGTTTACAGAAGATTCAAGTAAAGGTTGAAGGTAAGTAATTTCAGTGTCAAATTTATTTTCAACTTAGTTCATGGTAAGTGTCTCTCTGTTCTCCTTTCTATTTGCTCTTTGTGGTTTTAAATTCCAGTGGCAGGAATCAAGAGCAATGTTTGTGTTTTGTGGGCATCAAGATGCCAGAACACTTGGCACGCATTCTACACAGGGGGGAAATGAAGGAAGACCGCAAGAGTGGGAGTTGTCAATTGAGAGCCCTGCAAATTCCTTCCCAAGGTGCAGGCCCAGGATTATGCATGGGACACATAGCTGCTACAGACATTGCCTCTTTGGAGCCTTGTTTGTGCAGCTTGGATGATCTTGGCTTGTGGGCTGATTAAGTAAGACCTTGCAGAGCTTCAGCACACCTGCAGTTACCTAAATGGGTGTGTACGCAGGCCAGGCCTCCGGATCTATGGGGAGCTGGAAATGGGAGAAGAGAGAAAAGGGGAAGTGAGTGGGGGCACGGTGTCTGGTGGGGTATCTGGTGGTCACTCCTGGGTGGTCTCGACTGCTGAGAAATGAAAGGTGTCTAGCTCCTCATGGCTCTGGTCATGGGCATGAAGGCAAATTTATGTCGTCAGATAGTTGGCCTGTTTGATTATTTTTTTCTTTCTTTCTTTCCCCAACCCTTTTTTTTTTTTGAGACAGGGTCTTGCAGTGTAGAGCCCAGGCTGGCTTTGTACTTGTGATCCTCCTACCTCAGCCTCCCTAGTGCTGGAATGAAAGGCATGTATCACCACGTTTAGCTGACCTGTTTAAATATTTGTTGACATATAGATGGGCATGGTGGTACAAGCCTGTAATCCTAGCACTCAGGCTAAGGCAGAAGGATCCAGGGGTCAAGGCCGTCCTGGCCGAAGTGGGGAGATTTGTTTACATGTAGTTAAGATAAGTAGAATATGGTACCTTTTTTTTTTGTTTTGGACCCGGGATTGAACTCGGGTCCTTGCGCTTGCGCAGCAGGTGGCGAAACCATTGAGCTAAATCCCCGGCCTTATGATAACTTTTCTTAAAGTGTGTGTGGTATGTGTGTGTGTGTGTGTGTATGAGACACACACTCATGGACAGAGACACAGTGATTAACTTTTTTGCCCTTGATTTATTTGCAGCTCTTGAGAAAATCTATTTTACAAAGAGGAAAACCTGTGGTTGAAGGCTCTTTGGAGAAGAAGCCTCCATTTGAAAAGCCTAGTATTGAACAGGTAAAACGATAAAAAGAAGCTATTTAAATTTAAGACTGAAGAAACTATTTTTTGTTTTGTGGGAGGCAATCAGGAATTAAACCCAGGGCCTTGTGCATGGTAGGCAACCATTGAGTTACATCTCCAATGTGAAGAAACCTTTGAATTTTCCTGCAGTTTTCCATACCTAGCTTGAGATGTTTACCAAGTCTGTAGAAATTGTTCTGACCCATTTGGATCACATGTGCATACCTAGTTTAATAAATGATCTCACTTTTGTTTTTTGTGTACTTAGAATTCACTGTGTGTTTGGGGAAGAAAAAATAGTAGTTAGAACATGTAGTTTGTAAGAACACATGAAATGTGCTTTTTCTTATTGATGTTTAAAAATTGTCCTTTTGTTTGGCACTGTCTGAAAAAGCCTGTTGAGGTGAGGGAATCAGTAGTAAAGTGAAGAACATTGTAAGTCAAGCAAAAAAAGCAAAAAAGAAATGAGTTTGTACCCAGAAATTGACTTCCTGCTACATTATGATTCCTGGAAAGAATGAATCTGTTAAAATGCATAGACTGGGGCCGGGGATTTAGCTCAGTGGTTCCATTGCCTGCCTTGCAAGTGCAAGGTCCTGAGTTCAATCCCTGGTACAAAGAAATGCATAGCCTGCTCCTGTTGGATGTTGTCAGAATCTCTCAGCAGCATTACTTTTTAGTCTTTGTTTGGCCAAAGAACTCTCAGTCTGAACTGAATTTCCTGATGAGAATCCGACTACAGACGACATGATACTAGATCCTTACAGATGTGTTTTTATTAGTTTTCACAAGGATAAATTACATCTTTGTTTCAAACTATTAAATAAGAACATATTGTTCTTCTGTGTGAAATTAGATGAGATGGGAGAGTTCTGCAGAAAGATTAAATTGATTCACAGCTTTTTAAAAAAGCACATAATTTTGAATTAAGTTTTATTTTGTTTTTTTTTCTGATTGGCTTACTGAAACCAGAAGAACAATAACAAAGGGTTTAGTTTCAGTGGCTTAGTTCAGTGGAAGATGGGCTTAAGTTTTAGTTGTTTAGTTCTGTGGGATACATGCTAGCAGATTGTTGATTAAAATTTTATCAGAGAAAAACATAATATTTATTTAAGAACCACATTATATGTGAGCTGCTATGCTGGTAGCATTCCGCAAAACAAAACACAATTATTTCGCAAAATGGTCACATTTTATTGTTCAAGAGATTTGACCTTTTCAGTCCATGGTTTTGATTTTCTCTTTAATGCTTCAGGACTGAAGCAGGCACAGAATGACAGCTGACAGTCTTTCTGTCCTGTCATTTTTCATCCCCTGTGATCTAGGCAGGATTCCCTCCTGGCATTGCTGTTTTCTTTTAAAGAAAGGGAAAAGATTTTTGTGAATGGGAAATGGCTATTCTTTTGCTAATCATCACAATGGTGCTGGATGTGTGGGTGTTAAGAATTAGATGATTGCATAATTGCATGAATAAATTACCTTCCTTCCTTTTAAGGGTGTGAATAACTTTGTACAGTACAAATTTAGTCACCTGCCATCAAAAGAAAGGCAAACAATAGTTGAGTTGGCAAAAATGTTCCTAAACCGTATCAACTATTGGCATCTAGAGGCACCATCTCAACGAAGACTGCGATCTCCCAATGAGGATATTTCTGGATACAAAGAGAACTACACAAGGTAATCAGATGAAAAGCCCTTCCCCTTGGGCCCCATAGAGCATGTTGCAGACTTGAAATTGCTATTTGTCTCTGCAAGTGGAGGGTTCCCTGTTACTATGGTGACTCCATCACTTTGGAGAGAATGTCTATATAATTTAACTTTCAAACTTCTACTTTTCATTAACATCACAGTGTTTTAGAGGGTGAGGGTTCCAAATTATCTAGGCCTGTCACTATCCAAAATGACAGTCACTAACCACACATAGCTAACGAGCACTTGAAATGTGGTTAGTTGAATTGCGATTTATAAGATTGCATTTTTAGAAAGTTTAAAATAGCTCATTAATTTGTTTGTTTGTGGTGATGGGGATATAACCCAGAGTCTTTATACACATGCTAGTAACGTGCTCTGTCACTGAGCTGCATCCTCAATTCCAATTTTTTAAAGTTGATTACATCCAGAAAGATAATATTTTGGACATATTGGGTTAAATAAAAATATTGAAGTTGCTGTTGCCTGTTTTTACTTTTTCAGTGTAGCTACTAGCAGATTTAAAATACTTATGGCTTGTGTTTCATTTCTGTGGGTCATCACTAACTAGATAAACTATACTGTGTAATGTAGTGAACCCTTACTCAAAAAAAAATACAGTGTTCATTATGATACTGGAGTTAAGGAATTTTTTGTTTTGTTTTTTTGGTACCAGGGATTGAACTTGGGACCTTGCACTTGTGAGGCAGGTGGCAGAACCACTGAGCGAAATCCCCAGCCTGAGTTAAGGAAATTTTTTTTATTTTTTGGTACCGAGGATTGAACTCGGGTCCTTGTGCTTGCGAGGCAGGCTGCAGAGCCACTGAGCTAAATCTCTGGCCCCTGAGTTAAGGAATTTTTAAAAGAAAGATTCTCCTCCTAGCACCATGATGGGAGTGATTTTTTTTTTTTTGGTACCGGTGATTGAACTCGGGACTTTGTGCTTGCGAGGCAGGCGACAGAACCACTGAATCCCTGGTCCTGGAAGTGATATTAATATACATAATATCTTCCAGTATTTTCCTCTTTAAGTACATATTTTATATCACCATGAAAGACAACATAGAATTTTATGTCCTTTTCCCCCCACCTGACATCGTGTTAAACATTTCATGAATTACATTATGGCCCATTGAGTTGAAATACCATAGTTTATCCAGCCATTTTCCTATTGCAAACATTCGAATTCTGCACCTATGCTTGGATTGAACATGTGTTTTGTAAAGTGGGAATTTATTTTTACTGCTCATGAGCTGCAGAATGATAGAATCTTAAATGTGAATTATAGAAAATATAATACCCTATGTTTATTTTCAGTTAAATAAGGGTGACCTATTCTCCTTTTAATTAAGAAATTTTTAATTTATCCCACTTTCCCCCTCAAGCCCTCTTTTCTCACCATGTACAAAAGCTTTGTTTCCATTTTTTCCTTCTATTTTCACTCTTTTTCTTGTCTCTTCCTTCCTTTCTCCCTTCCTTTTCTCTTGTTCCCCTTCCCATTTGGACACTTTCTTCTCATTTCAACATCCGTTCATTACGCATCTCAGTCCTTATTTCCACATTCAGTTTCTCACACCAGAGAAACAATGCAGTATTTAAACATGTGTGTCTGATTTATTTCTTGTAAGAGTATGGTCTCAAGGTCCATCCATGTAGCTATAAATGTCTGAAGCTCATTCTTTATTGCATAGTAGTACTCCATTGTGTAAAAAAAAGCACATCTTTATCCACTTGGAATGTCCTATTCTTTACTACAACTTTTCTGCATTTACATTTTAGTGGCACATCAAGCTTGCTTGCTTCTGGGATGTTATGGAGCTTTAGTTATGTGTCGTTCCCCCCCCCCCGTTTAAAGTAAGAATCATCATTTGATAGCTTTCTCAAGACTACTTGTGATATTACTTCCTGTAATAGCAGATATCATGGAGGAATGGGTATAAGTGAAGTTTTATTTTCTGTCACTGACCTATATTTTTATGAGGTCACAAAATGCCCTCGCTTCCTCACCCTAAACTTTTACCACGTGTAAAATTTGAATTATAAAATATTTTATCTTAGTGATTGATATTTACAGGAATTATAGATTTCTTCAGAATCAGTTTTTACTATTAGATCTTCATTTCTACATCTTTTGCAGTGCAGAAGCTTTTTTTTTTGGTACCGGGGATCGAACTTGGATCCTTGCACTTTCAAGGCAGGTGGCGAAACCACTGAGCTAAATCCCTGGCCCCATTTCTACATCTTTAATTGCAGGATTTTACATTAATAATAGTAATTCTGTGTTATTGTAACTATTGTTTATAATAGACATCAACATTCTCATATCAGCTGTTTCGTTGCTTTCAAAACCTAAAAGATAACATCAGAAATAAATATCTATGAGGGTCAGGGATTTAGCTCAGTGGTGCCATGCCTGCCTCCCAAGTGCAAGGTCCCAAGTTCAATCCCAGCCCCCACAAAAAAAGGAAAGAAATACCTATGTGAACTATAATGTAAATACAAACAAAAGTCTACCACAGAAATAATCTTTCCTTCAATTGTCACACCCAAGGCAGTTTTCACACATGAAAACTGCATGTTCCATGCACAAGTATCACACTGATAGCACATATGTTTTGTTTTCCTGTCATTTTTTGTAGGGCACCGCTGACATCTTTTTGGTTTTCCTGTTGTCATAGTAGGTCTCTGTGATGTTGCACATGCCTGTTCACCTTTGAGCTCACCACTGTGCTGTATAAATTTTTTCATGCAGTTTCCAGGGCAGAAACATTTTATTTTTACTCTTTTGTAATTTATTTCTTATGAGTTCCAGTCCCAATCCTCTAAGAAAATTTCTCCATGATATTTTGGACTTGCTATTTTGTTTGTAAACTATCAAATTATTCATGCCAAAGATATTTAGGATCAAGTAAAACACAACCATTGGCCAACACTTTGTGTTTCAAGTGACATCATAGTTGCTGCATAACTCACCAACAACATCTACTCCACCTTTGGTTTTGTTGTAAAAAGTTGCCATCTCAAGCTTCAGTTTTGTCGAGATTTCTGTCAATTTTTCCATCATTGTGCATTGTTGACATCAGCAGTACCAGCTTGCTTTTCCTTTGTCATATACAAGGCCAAGGTTATATCTTTCTGAAATCCAAAGATTGTACTACACAATTCCCTGTTTTGAAATTGCAGCATTTCATTGGGAATTTCTGCTTTGTTCTTGCATATAGTTCCTATTCTGGTCAATTTGTGCTCTGCTACCAAATGTAACACCAATTGGAAACTGGTACACCAATTGGAAACTGGTAAACCAATTCTCGAATGTCACATTCTGATTCATTTGGGAGATGGAAGCAACAAGTCTGTTCACAACATCATTTGCTTCATTACTGTACTAGTAAAGAGCTAGGGGCTGAGTTCCAGGATAAATTTCTAAACTGAAGGTATACGTCTTCACATCTAGCAGAGCATATATATTTATATCATATTTTGAAGGCTTTTTTTGGCATATACTGCCTAAAGCTACAGCGACCGGGTTTATTTTTTTTCATTAGTTCTTTTATTGGTACATATTAGGTATAAAATTCATTTACATTTATCACTGGGTGTTTGTATTGTAAGACCGTGGGCCTTACCAATCGCTCCAAGGAGCTGACTACAGTGAGGATCACCCAGGAGGGAACACACGGGACAAATTGAGAAAGTAAAACAGACCTTTATTAGTCTGGCCAGATGGCACCCTCCAAGCACCAAGCTTAGAGAGGTGCCCGGCTCAGAGTCTGAGGTCCTTTTATAGGGGTCGCAAGAGGGAACTTGGCAAGCAGCTGTACAGAAGCGAGACTTTGGCGGTTATGGGAGTGTTGCAACTAATCTTTACATAGCAGGCATAAGACTATCTTGAGGTTTTTCTTGGAACAACAACAAGTACATTCCGGGAACTCGATGTCCCCATGGTGACCCATAACAGAAGCAGACAAGATGGGGCCTTATTACAAAATGGAGTAACTTCTGTTCAGTCTCACAGTATCTGTACATGATATATCTTGGTAATTATATTTTCCCCATTACCTGTGCTCGCTTCATACCCTCCACCCTTCCAGATTTACATATACATCATTTCCATTTTTTTTCTTTTCTCATAGTTTTTCTTTTCCCTCTTTTCCTTTCCCCTTCCCCTCTCTTTACCCCTTTATCTTTGGACATTTTTTCCTATTTCAAATTACTAATTATTCATTTTAATCATTTTAAACCTTGTTTACACTACCAGTTTCTCACACTAGAGAAACTATTTGGTATTTACACATGTGTGCCCTATTTATTTCACTTAAGAGTATGGCCTTGGTATGCATCCATTTAACTATAAATGACTCTAGTTTTTCATTCTTTATGGCTAAGTAGTACTCCATTTTATTTTAAAAAAACACATTTTCTTTATCCAGTTTCCAGTTGATATGCACTTGGGCTGCTTCCAAGCTTTAGCTATTACAA